AGAGGCGATGGCTGGAATCTGAGTACATATATGTCAAGGCAATCCAACTCCAGGGCAACTCTGGAAGGGCACGACATGACCTGATGGCTGAGGACGCGTCATCAAGCTCGATGGGAAAATGGCACACGGACTCCAGCATCTGGACTGAAGTCCAATAGGCTCCGGCGTATGAGAGACAGAGATGCAATGTGATCCCTGACTTTGAGGGGCATCGAATGCCCTATCAGAGCCCAAAGCCGGATCTTAGCACTCGGTAGTGGAAAGTTGGGCGCTTAATCGGCAGATCGGCCAGCCTTATATCCGCTACCCATTTCCGGCTGTTCATACATAGTTACGGTGCTCATCCAACCAACGCTGTGAGTTTGATGCATCATGTAGCTCAAGAGTTGAGTTTGCAGTTGGTACAGATGATAAACTGCAAAATCGGGTCATAAAAACATTGATGCCGAGGTGGAGCGCAGGGCGTTTGCAAACTTGAAGTTATACGCGATCACCAGCTGGTGCAGGCCGGAACAACGGCAAGAAGGCCTGGACCGGCTTGGCTGCAGCGCCTCCAAGCTGATTGGAGTGTAGAGAATGATGGCTGCAGCCAAGTGGAGACAGCGGTTAATAGTATTCGATGTGCTCCTCGCCGTGTTCCGGCCAGGATCGTCTCTTTCATAGAAAAGGAGACCTATTTCATGCTGAGTCGGTCGTGGTACAGATTTTCGATCATTCACTTCTTTTTCTTCTTTTTCTACAGTGTTACAGAAATCTCTCCCGCTAATAAAGACCACCAAACAGATTCGCAACAGTAAACAACCAAGCACATCTATTCAACATGCCGCGTAACATCGCGATGGAGTCACTGATATCTCTATATCTTCTTCTCTGTCTACTACAAGGCTGCCTCGCAGCATACCTTCCACCTATCCCACGTTCAGAAACATCATCAATCGATAATCCAACAACACTGGCAGGCAGGGGCTCAGACAATGATGACGATAGCGGCGGTCTGAGCATTGCGGGTAAAATAGGCGTGGGAGTTGGTGTCCCTGCGGCAATAGCCGTATTAGTTGGCGTCGGCTTGATGGTCAAACGGTGTCGCGATAAACGTCGTGATAGGGAGGAGGCGAATGGGATGGACCACCTATACACAACTTCGAAAGCTCCCCAGCCATCCCAGCCCGCAAATGAGTACAAGGGGTATTATTTCAAGTAAGAAGAGGGGAATTGTCAATATTTCTTCTTCTTCTGGCCCTTGAGTTGGCCCTTAGTGGGCAAATAATTTGAAAGCACCTTTGGACGTTTCTTGATTAGCAAAGTTGCATACGAAATCGATATTAATAAAAGTCAACAAATGAGTCTTTGTAAAATCAGACGTGACAGAGGGAAAGGTTAAAAAAAAAATATTGGAGCCAATGAAAATAAAAGTTGAAATAGTTGATTTACAAATCGGCAAGGCCAACGTAAGCGCTGAAGGTCAATGCAGATACCATAGACTAAAAACGCTCACTCTGGGATTGAATAGCAACTTCTCCTGTCCTGGGACCTTCTCAATGATGAGTTTCCTTGAATTAATATTGCTTGTCACTAAACACATTCTGAGTCTCTTCCTTAAAAATGTAAATGCATTTTGCATAATTCTAAGTATTCTCTGACACCTCATACAACTGAAACGAAGAAGAAAGATCCCACTCTATCTATTTGTAAAACTGCTCCGTAGAAGGTCGTGCCATATCCTGATACCGCCTCAAAGGCTAAAACAGAACTTCCGCCTAAGCAAAAGAAAAGAAAGACGTATTTTGTTAGAATAAAAGGGGAAAACATGATGCTTAGCTGAGATGTCAGATCTTTTGTGCAACAATTCTATATGTAGTCGTAACGAGTCCCATGTCGTCCATCTGCTCAAAGGCCTTTCCATCTAGGCAAAAACGATCGATGAGCATAGTGAAGTGAGGCGGTAGGAGGTGCGCATGGACCAAGCCGTGAATCATCCGTCTAAGAGAACGGAAGTAGAAGTCGACCTTGTCGATGAGAGCGGCTTGGCGGCCGTCTATACTCGGGTTGTCTGATTTTGTGATGGTGAACCCTGCTTCTACCAATGCCTTCTCGAAGCTCGCCGGTGTCGGTGTGCCTACGGCGCCAATCAGGGGTTTCACCCGGCGCATCAAGCTCGCATGGGTCGGGTTCTCGGGGTCGTAGGCGGGCAAGCTTACCCAATCCAAGAGAAGAAATTTGGCGCCAGGCTTGAGAATTCTGTGTATCTCCTTGAACAAGAGGGAAGGGTCCTTGCACAAGCTAAGCGCTTGAATCTCGTAGAAAGCATCGAAAGATTGGTCCTCAAAAGGCAGGGGTAGATCATTCTGATCATGGACCACGAACTTGTTCATGTTGCCAAGGGATGTATTCCATTGCCGCGCCTGGTTGATCTGGTTCTCGTCGATGTTGAGTCCGGTGACTTCGGCCCCTGAGTAGCTGCTCATGTGTGCCGCCACTCTTCCTCGGCCGCAGCCCAAATCCAGCACTTTCATTGAGGGCGTCAACCCAATCTCTTCTGCTATCGCCTCCTCATTCAAGAGCTGGTTATCGAGGACAGATGCCTTCTTGTCCATTACAGGAGGAATGTACATTTTCTCGACATCGCCCAGGCTGCAGAGATGATTCAGAACCGAGTAGTATGCTTTGAGAGAGTCGCCAACCTGCTGTTGATAATCAGGGCCAAAAGCTGCAATCATCTTCTCCTCATCCGCCCAATCATTGTCATATATTCTATAAGATCTCATGAAATCTTCAACTTCTTTTGGTGTAAGATTGTAGATGTGCTTGAAAGATCTAACAAATGTCTTCCATCGTTTAGTTGAGGCAGAGCGGTCCACATCGTGTTGTTTTGCTGGCTCCCGGCCTACGCCTTTGATAGGCTTCTCATCGACACTTTCGCTAGACCGCGAGCTTCCACTTATTGGAGTTGTTTGGGTGTCCACAGGGGCAGCGATAGCTGCAGGGTGTGAAGCAGCTACGGACATGATGGAACAAAATAAACAATCATAAACCCGAACAGTCTGGGTGCTTTGGTCGAATACCAACCCCAAATTTTACAAGCGGGCAAATTCTTGGGTATTCATATCCTTGCAAGTATGTGTGCTCACCTCCTTTTCGGCGTGACTGGCCGCTGAGAAATCCGGAGCAAGGAATGTGGGATGATCACACGATAGTTGGCCGTTTGATTTCCGTTGCAGCCGAGCGGTGCCCGCTTATTCGTGCCATCTCCGCAGTCTCCGGCATCCACGGTGGGAACGTGTCACAGAGTTTGCTCGAAACATGACTGCGAGATCACATCATCTCATCACCGAGAATGAAAGTATTTGTCAAGGAGACCCGCTTTGGTTCCTTTGTCGGATCAAGCTTGTCCACCTCTTAAGCGGTGTCGGGGGGGACCGTGTTCGGTGATAGGGCTGAGGAGAATAACGCGCATCACCAGACACGCTACCCCCGTCTATCTGCTTGTAGATCCCAATGAGTCAATGCGACCCGAGCCTAATGACGTATTCGGTTTCTTCACAGATTAATTTAAATTGATCAACAAGGGCGTACCCGTGCATTGGACACCTCGCGAGTCTCGGTTAGATGACTCGGCCGACGCTTCGGAGGTGGCATCGGGAGGTAAGCGGTGTCAGTCGTCCCCCGGACGTTCCGGCCGGAAACAAAAGTTCAGAAAAGACCGAAATCAACCTACTTGTACGTTTGAAGCTGGAGTACCCCCAACAAAAATAAATTCCCTGAATGCCCGGTACTCCGATTCTCCGTTCCGGACTCATCTAACCCTGCTTCAGCTATATGCCTGCTCTCCCAGGGGGAAAGGTAACGGTTTTACGAACACAAACCTAATGTTGGAATTATTGTTCTCTTCCGCTTCTCGCAAGCTTTCTTCCGTCAGAACAATTCGTTGAGAAATACACATGATTGACCAAACGAGTGCCACTCCGCATCATGCCAAAGACGTGAAGTGGTTCATCGGGCGAGAAAGGGAGCATGGGTTACTTGATGGTTCAAACAACAAACGGACTCAACTGGGTGGAGGGGAGACATGTCTGATCGACGAACCTTTCGTGATTTCATGGTAGCCAAGTCCATTTTCATCAGCACATCAGTTGACGGACACACGCCGTCTGAATATTTAGAAGCTGCGCGAGGGCTGACTTGCCACAAACCTCTGGAACCAGTAAATACGTGCCTCAGCTCTGGATAAATTCTTCCTAGAGTTGAGCATCTTCCCCCGTCACAAAACATATTTAACCTCGAACATCTCTTATCCATGGTAAGGTGGTCGGCACAAATCGAGCAAAGATGCCACATGCAGCGAGATCGGAGGCACGAGCGGAATCCCCTTTTGGTAAGGTTTGCGTTTGCTCTGTCCCCCCAGAATCCGTTCAGCTTTGGAGAAACAGATCCACCATGGATGCATATCTTGTTTTGGATATTCGTGCGCCGGCTCCCAAAGCACGTCATAGTCGCCAGTACGAAGGTAACTGTATCCCTTCAAAGGGCACACAGATAGTGACCTTGAACTTCAACTATTCAAGTCTCAGCACAATCAAACGGCCAAAAACTCACTATCATTGAAATACGATGTTCTGGAATACCGTTTGAAGTATGTTCAAGAGGACTCTTGACATCGTGGGCTGAATCTGATTGACGGCTCTCAACTTGCAAATCGGTTACAATAACCAGCATAATACAGCCGCCAGAGACAAGGTGGAAGGATCCCTTGCCTTCTACAGAGGCTTGTTTCAGTTCAGCTGCCGTCTAAATTGGGCGTCTGTTCTCCAAGAGGCTGCCAAATACGTCGAGTTCTTGTCGAGTTCTTGCGCGGGGGTTGCCCTAAATATCATGAGGAGATGCAAGGCCTTGCCAAGGGCGCCAACGTGGAAATCCTGGACATCGTTGCTCTAAATAATACCGAGATCAATTTTTGACTATTCATCGCAGATCAATCACTAGCTGTGCAAAGCGACGGATGCATGAGCGTGGTATACAAGAACAAGACAGGCGACGTTCTACTCGCCCAGAACTGGGATTGGCAGAAGGAACAAGCTGCCAACCTTTTTGTCTGCCACATCAGTCTACCGGGTACAAATCTCCCCGACGTTTCCATGGTCACCGAGGGCGAGGTCATCGGGAAAATTGGGTTCAACTCAAGCGGCGTGGTAGTTTGTTTGAACGCAATCGGGGAGTAAATGTCTCCCGATACCCATCCACGTCGCACTCAGAAAAGCACTCGAGTCCGGCTCGGTCATCGGAACAGCCGGGAGCGGCAATATTCTCGTATCTGATCACTCAAAGGCCCTCGGATCAGAGTTAACAAGTTCTGGTATCAAGGAACTTCAGTTGAATAATGCATCTTAGTCCACACCGACCAGTTGCTTCTGGACCATGCTGGTGTTTTTTCAGTCGCTTCAAAGTGGTTTATATGGTCTTATCGTATCGGACAAGAGACATGCGGGTAGAGGCTATCTCTTCCCCAATATATGCCCACGACCTTCGGCAGCCGTGGCTTGCCATCTGGGGCCAAGATATTGGGTGCACATCAACAGATCTCGAGCCATACGAAGCTCCAGGAATAATTTGAGACTTAGGCCTTGGGATGCGATCTTACCACCCTAAAACTCCACGATGCCGACAGCATTGTCTTGGACGTTATACTGCGCGAGCTCAGGCTAGACAGCGCGGATACTGTGAGCAGAAACGCTCTTAGGTTGGATATCATCGGCAAAGAACCAGAGCGTGAGATCAATGTCGTGAACAGACACGTCGACAAAAACACCACCAGACCAGGCGTCGTAAGCGATAAAGAACACCGAAGGGTCACGCTTGTCGCAGGTCTGGCTGCGGATGATGGAAGGGCGTCCAATCAAACCCTGTTCCGCCTTGTTACGCGCATCGTGATAGGACTCGTCGAAGCGACGAGGAAAGCCGCACATGACCTTGAGATGAGGGTGTTTCTTTGCCTCCTCGACGACTTGGTGGCACTTGAGTAGCTGTTCGCAAAGCTGAGAATACTGAATCATTGACCGAAATGGCGTACGATGGAGATGCTCGTGGACAGAGGCTTCTCGCAGAGAACATGCAGGTTCTTCTGCATCGCCTGAATGGCCTCATCAGCATGGACAGATGCGGCCGTTCCAATAAAGACGGTATTAAGGCCTGGCTGGTCAATCTCTTGTAGTCATCGTAGAGAGTAACGCCATAGGGCTCTAAGTTAATTTTAGTCTGGGCCATCTCCTCCGGGTCTTGGGTGAAGGTGCACCGACAAGTTCGGCCCGTGAGGTACGGTTAAGAAAGTCAATGGCATATCTCTTGCCTATCCGGCCAAGGCCGGTGGCAGCAACCTGAAGCTTCTCGGGGGCCATTTTGTGATGTTAGGGTGTGAGGTTGGAGGATGAGGAGATAATGATGATATGGTATGGCCTTCAGAACCGATCCCCATTGCGACGAAGATATGGCTTCATGTATACCCATTCGACATCCCCACAGATTTCTACGCGGGATGTATGTATAGAACCCCATTGAACAGCCACACCTCCTGTCGATTCGCGAGGCTGGTAGAATCTAGGGGCGCCACAGGTTGATCGGAGGCAAAGGCATCACGAGGACACATCCATGCTCAAACTCTTCAAAGAAAGCTCCGTAAACAAACCAAAAGCTGAATTACTACTGCAGCTAGAGGGAGCCGGTGTACGTGGAGATTGGGGCGATCACTTCTCCCAGCGCCAGTGCTAGAGGTTGGCTCGCCCAATCTTACCCAATTCACCCGCGAGGGCAATTTCACCCCGAACTGCTCCAAAACAGGTGGCCCACTGACTAACTACATGTCGTTAGTTGAGGGCCAAACAGAAGCGAGGTGCTCTATCGCCTCTCTAGCTCGGGAACTGGAATCTCGGGAATCGAACATCACGAACTAGGCCGAACCATCTGTTGGGGGGTGATGCGGAGGCACTCATAAGAGCTCAAAATACCACTAGCTCATGAACATCTACGCGCTGTATCAATAACATAAAGTCCTAGAAAACGCCGAAGCACTACTCTGATGCTTACTATAACTCTATGGTGACCTCGCCACCTAGTGAGCACAATCCGTTCTCTTCCATATCATAATTGGCATCTGTCCAAGTCGATGATTCGTGCTCTCAAGCGTTTCCAACTCGAGTACTTCTGGTAACGCGAATCACATCGATGTATAAGTAACGCCAGCACCGCGGTTTGTTCCAAGACAAAGATATACGGCCAAATGCATCTTTCAATAAAGGACACTGGAGATCCTAACCTTCTGCCCAAGGAAATCCCCCGGCTTCTATATCTTTCGGGAACACGATGAACGAGATTTTAGATGTTCCAGAAGAACTCAATGTGTTATGGAAACGATGAAAGCCTAACCCTACATCTTAATTGACTTTTTAACGTGAAGGTGAGGTGTAATGCCATCTGTCTTCCCCTCTTTAGCATATCGAAAGTACAGCTCGAGGGGAACAATAACGGCATTGCACGAGTAAAATTACAGCTCCATTGAAATTGAATGCCAGACGAGGCCAACAAGATCCAAGATGATCAAGTATCTCTGTATGGAATCTCCACTCACACTTCCCCAGACCCCGCACTATGTCGAACTGGTGTGAGGGGAAACTTTCCCTCCACAGCAAATGAGGTTATAAAAGCGCGAAGGCCCTGCCGCATGCTCGCGGCCCAGGCTGTCTCTCTTCATTCTCATCGGCGGCTCCACTCTGCTACCCATAGCCGCTGTTCGTGATCTGATCAGAATAGGCACTATCAGACCATGCCGGAGAGCAAGAAGAGAGTACGAGGATGTGAAGTAAGTACAAGTGCTCCTCGTACAATCCAGAATCCCGGCGTCTCATCGAAAGGCTGCAGACGGTGAGTCTAATAGTTCAAAACATGGCTAACGGGAGATGAACTTAGAATTGTCGGGCAAGGTTAGTGAAAGGCGCAGTTGATGCAGCCATACGTGCTTGGTGGACTGGTGATAACTAACATGGTCGATGCACATCGAATAGGCATGTCAAATGTGAGATCGTCTCCTCAATGCGGCTCTTCAAGCACGGCCCGCGCTCCTGTTTCTCTGCTGAGATGCATGCTAACTACAAGTCGCACAGGTGATGGTGCCCAGCCATGTAGCCAATGTGCTAAGCGAAAACTATCCTGCAACAAGGGTTCCAAGGCTCGGTTTCGTTTAATGTCACAGTAAGTCTCTATCATGGCCAACTTGTGTTATCAACTGAAAGAGTTTGACTAAGACGAATAGAGGATCGAAAAAGTTTCCTTCTGATCAGACATGGTGTCGGACTATTTCAAAAAGGATTGACTTTGTTGACCAAAGTCTAGAGATTGCAAGACAGTACGACGGTGGATCAGAAGCTGAAGATGAAGACTTCCCGGCCGATCACTTCAACGATCATGCCGATACTTCGCCTCCAAATACCGAGACCTGCGACCCCAACTCTCGCCTTTCCCCTCCGACAAACAGTCTATCTATTGAAGATCAAATTATTTCTCAAATATCACCTCAGACTGGCTTGGATATTGGTCAGTCACCGCTTATCCGTGATTGGACTCAAGCAGCCTCAGAGTGTTCCATAGAGTCCACCATCAGGCATTTCAAACGCCTAGAGCTCCCTCAAGCGGCCCTCAAAGAAAACGATAAGGCCAACCTCATTCGACATTTTGTCCAAGTTGTTGGCCCCGCATTTGACTTCTATGATGAAGGCAGAAAGGTCGCAAGTGAACTCACGGAGCGGGCTATTTCTTGTCAGCCCCTCCTTCGTCTAGTATACAACGCATCTGCTAAGAGCCTAGGCCTCTCACTGGACTTGGATGATGCCCCTGAATATCTCGTTGACCCGATAGCTCTATCGCATATCAATGACGGGAACAACAATACGGCCGCCACACTTCTCTCAAGGTTCATTTATAATCTTGAAGATAAACAAGACTTGACACAAGGCTTCGCCATTATAAATGCACCAAGTCCTCCATTACATATCGACGACTTTCAAGAAGCCATCATGTGGGCAAACTTGAGACAAGAGATATTCCTTGCTCTCATGAATCAACGACACGTAAATGTTCCTGTGGATCGTCATGCACTGGAATCTCTTCTCCAGGATCACCTGTGTCAAACCGCAGACGACAGCACTTGGTGCAATAGAATGCTACTACATCTTTTTGATACCATACAGTACTGCTTCGGTGATGCACATAGTTCGTCCACGTATGACCAACTATTCAGTTACGCCAATACGTGGATGTCTTCCAAGCCGTCATCCTTCACTCCTGTCTTCTCCCAAGATGGCCCTAATGGCCAAATGTTGCCTGAGATATGGTTTCTGGACAGCTGTGCGGCGGCAGGAATGCAATATTACCATTTAGTCAGAATTCTTCTCACGGCGCATAATCCGCGTGTCCCCCGGATAGGATCGGCAAAGAAGGCAGCAATCGAATGGATTGACGTAGGTCTTCTTAAACTCAAAATACCTACCTCTGAGCATATATTAACATTGACATAGGAGCAAGTAAGAGGCCATGCAAAGATGGCCTGTGGGATTGCGGAATCGTTGGAAGAAATCAATCCAGGTCACCTGTAAGTGCTTTTAACATCCGTTCCATTAGACTTTAACTAACAGTTGAATTGTTTCAGCTCTGCGTGCATGGCCATTGCACTTGCTGGCGACTACTTTCATGAGAAAGAAGAACAAGCAATCCTGTCAAACCTCATGACCAAAACCTCGTCATATTATGGTTGGTCAACGGGCTCAACGTAAGTAACTTGGATCGGTTTATAAGGAGCGCTTCTAACTTTTGAAAAAGGCAGAAATATTTGCAGGAGACTTGGAAGTAATCAGAAAATTAGATAAATAAACTCCTCAATGCGACCACCAGTAATTACATCATATGCTCGTTCATTATAGCCAGACATCCTCCTCCCCTTTGTTTGACCGCTTCGTTTCCGTGGTGATGCACCTCGCCAGCTTTCCTAGCCAGGCTTCCTCTGCCACTTAGGCTGTTGCTTCAGCCCATTGACGGGACAATCGCGCAATCAAGGGCACTGTTTGCCATCCTGATAAATCACGCAGCGTTTGTAGAAACTCCAACACTTCATTCCGTTGTCTCCCATCCTGTATCCATGACCCGACTAATTTTACGCTTCAGATTAGTGCCAAGTCAAGGGGCGAAGTGACCGCGATCTACTTACATGCATGCAGTGTGTGGTGGGCAATGAATCGTCCCGTCATCATATCGGGATGACTGATCGACAACCCAATAATTAGGCCCATGAAATTACGGATGTTGTCCTGTGATATTGCGATCAGATTACCGTGTGTTCATGCTGAGAAGGAGAAGTTTGGTAACGTACGTCAGCCTCGGGTCGCTTCCTCAGAGCATCAGGGCCAGGCTTCCATAGTTGAGGATCAAAGGCACTCAGAAGTAACCGAGCCAGATAATAGTGTTGATATGCAAGCACTTGGCATATAGAAAAGTTTCGTCAGCAAGATTGTTCTCTGTGTAGGGAGTTTGCGTCACTCATTACCGTACTGCGGTCTTGTCATCCAGCATGTTGGAAAACACGATCCTTCTGTCTGGGGATTATCTCCGGGTAGACTTGCGAAGTATGGAAGAGACTCTTTCGGGGCACTATCAAACCACTCTGCTACGCTGGTGTTTAGCTCCTGCCATCTATCGGCATCCAGCCTTGCATCGTTCTGGAATGCATAGGCAAGCACTTGACTGCAAATAAAGACCGCCCGGTTAGCCATAGCCTCAGGTGTGGAGCTGGTGAAAAAGGCCGAGTTTCTATAGTTCTCATAGGTGCTCGTGGGACACAGGGACCTTGTGAGCGAGATGAACATGTCTTGTCGCAAGAGAAGCCAGCTCGCCGCTTCACCAAGGCCACCAAGAGGCGCAAAGCTTGATGCCAAGTCTAACAGACGCGTGCTTCCCAGTAGATGAGTACAGGTGTCGTTCTCTATTCTCTCATCCAGTCGCGGTGATCAGTCAGTAAATCATGGAGATATGTGCCGGAAAGAAGGCAAGCAACCGGACTTACCTGACATTTCTTCATTAAGACGCAATAGTACAATCGCTGCGAGAATGTTTTCATCTATAGACGCAATGGGATCATCCAGAGCGGGAATAAGTAACTGAATAGCTTTACTGTAGTAAATTTCGCTGCTTGGATCATCAATCCTAGATCTAAGACAAAAGAACCGGGATGTGAATGCCAGCAACGAGAATGCCAGCAGGGGATCGTCACAAGCGCGTTTAGGAACCTCGCGAGCAAAATGGCGAGCCGGGTCACAAATGTCAATCTACTAAACGTCAGTCCCTAGCAGATGGTAGCTTCGAAGAGGCCTTACCCAGGAAGAGAAATCTTTGATGTAGTACATCAGGTAACGAGCTTCCTTTCGGTTCTGAAATGGGAAGCCGGCGCCGTGCTGGTTGAAAGGAGACCGGGGAGATGGCCTAGCCAGGCTGAAAAAATTTAGTTAGCCCGTAGTCATAGCATGCATGGGCGGGCATATCCTTCAGGGGATGCATACGAAAAGTGTTCCTCATCGGAAATCTCCCCATGGGCAGATCGGACGGTCGAGGCCAGTGAATGCTCGGGTGTAGGCCACTGTTGAGGCGGTGACGAACCAGTCATATTGAGGCAGTATCCACGTTGTGGGACATTAACCCCGGGATAGTGATGATTATGATGATGGAAATAGGCCATGGGGGGCATAATGGCGTTACGAGGACACTTAATATCCACAGAGACCAGTGCTTCCGTGATGCTTCAATAAGGTAGAATCTGGGGCAAACAAGTTTGGATAATCCGTGACGCTATGAATCAGTGTGAGAAGGCGGGTTTTATTTCCTGTTCAGTCGAGGAGGGCAACTTTGAGCGGGGAGAGTCACTAGGCCAAGGTTCCCCTCTTTCGGGAACACCAACAGACTCGGCGATGAGATGAGATTCCCCGCCATTCTCTCCACCAACCGGCCAGTAACCCGGTGGGCACTAGTGTCCAAGGACGAGTTATGATCTTGTTACAACTCGTAGTCCCATCCTTGTGGTAATTACATCCAACAGCCCTGGTAGTCACTCGCCAAGCTCAAGAAGCCTTCAATCAAAATGGAGTTGTCTGCTGTCCCCGTTTCGCGAATTCAGTGGGGGATCATTCCCGCCTTCTCTACGGGGAAGAGTTGCACTAGATAGAGCACCTTGGCCAATGACACGGGCTGAAACCACACCCCCCAACTCAGCCCATATTGCTGATTAGTTTCACAATATCCCCAACGCAATAATCATTCATATCCAACCCAGGCCAGGATATCCAAATAGCCTCAAAGGCACAGTATATAGAGCTCACTCTCTTGCAGTGTACAAAGGCTCCCCCTCGTCCATCCAACAGGGTAAGACATCTCTCATCCATGATTCTCTTCCTATTGATCCCTTTACTCAACAATTCAACCAGTCTTCTCTGGCTCTAATTACTAATTCTATTCGATCTCCCATCTTCATGCCACGGCCATAGAGACTAGAGACATCCGAGGCCCCTGCCGCAGCAGGCGAGTCCTACGACCATTCGGAGGACGAAGCCGGCTCCGATGAAGTCGGCACTTCATCGAAGAAACCACTCCAAGCCTGTTTCAGACCCTGTGTATCATATCCACTACTATCGGCGGTACACTCTTTGGATATGACACCGGAGTCATCTCTGTGTACTAGTTGTGCCGAGCGACGACCTTGACGGTCGTGCCTTAGGCCATTGAGAAAAAGAGTTTATCACTGGCCTTTGCGCTGGTGGTGCTTCAATCGGTACCATTCTAGCAGGAATCACCACCCATAGATATGGTAGGAAGCCTGCAATTTGGTTCGCTTCGAGTGCTCGGCTGGTTCCTGGTAGAACCTCAATAGCAAGGTAGGTACATACCTATAATTTTGTAACTACCACGCCCAAGCCCATGAGAGTACCTGGGTAGGTAAGGAAAGTACTAGGCTCTACTATACCCTATTTTCAATTATGGGTTCTTTATTTTGATTATTATTAGGTAAAGCTGAAAAAGCGAAGGTGTTATCCGACCCCTTCAGGGGTTAGACGCGGCTTCCAGATTTGCATATTTAATTGAGGGTAGGTTACTCCATACATCGATAGGTATTAGCTGTTGGACTTTCAAACAATCGGCGACTGGTCGACAGAAAAATAATTTCCGGGCCGTCCCGTCTTGATGATGCCATCGTTAGCGTACGAGGAAGGTGTTTTGTGGTGTTGCGAGGAAGGGTGCTCTGTACGCGCGTATGTTATGAACCTTATAAATACGATCAACAGCCGCAACCTCGAGCGGCCTTGAGAATGTAAGCCTGATCCTATCTACAGCGATCCAGATAGATACGATCAACAGCCGGAGCCTCGAAGCAGGTAAGTCTGATCCTTCTCAAAATTAGCCCTAGACCACTAAAACCCCAGCTTCGTCAGCTTTGCCTACTCCTATGATGGCCTGCCAGCATCAACGGTCTTGTGAAAACCACTACTAAGAGCCATCAAGCCAGATATTGTATCACTAAATTCACTACTTCTAACTATTATGAGACCACCGTTTACAATGGCACTATCTGAGTTCGAAGACAAGTTCTGGACATCCTTGGGGATATTCTGCGGGCCCTCCTGGGCATCGAGGAAGTATTAAAAACCATTACGACTAGTACCACGCCCTCATTCTGGGGGAGGAATATAAACGTTATTGGGTTTTTTGTTGCCCTATTTGGGCTTATATATTTATCAGCCAAGTTTGAATATGGCTGGAACCGGCTCGTCCGGTATTACGAGACGGACGAAGGACCTATAGGGTTCCATGTTGGGATTGTGTTCTATCTCGAGAGCATTTTTAAACGTTTCCGTGCTCCCCGGAAGAACTTGCAGCAAATGCCATCAAATCTCGTTGAGAGACCAGTTGGGAAGAAACTCGACAGTTCACATCTTGTAGCCCTCCCCCATACACCTCAGATTTCGACACAATATCAACATAATCAATACGGTTATTAATACAATATCAATACAATATCAATACGATACCAAACTAAATAATATACCATAATATATTATTTTACTGTTATTATGTCAAATATCATTAATAACAGAATGGGGTCTCCAGCTTGCATAAAAAGAGCTCTGGTATGCCAAGTTTCATTTCAGTCCCTTGGGTGCCAACACTGTGGTCTAAAACTTTTTAATATCTACTTGGTATCTAACGCAATATAATATGGATTCAACTAAACCAATACAACTTTGGTCGCCTTGGCTTTCATCTTCTCCAAGTCTTTCCAGGTATCTCTCTGTCCATCCCACAGTTCACCATCCATGATTCCATGAACATAGCTCTCTCCCACAAGCTTGTAATATTGACCACGAGCCGTATCGTTGCTGTGGCTTGAATGGCGAAGCACAAACGGCACATGGCCACCAATCAAGCTCCAGACTTCGTCTCCCGGCCGCACACCAACAGGTCCGATTCCCATGTACCCGTTTTCAGTGACGAAAAACTCACGGTTCCAGCTTGCCCTGTTCACGGCATGTTGAATCTCACACGATATGCCCCAGAGACCGTGAAGACCATCCAGTTCCTGCTGAGAGAACCCAGGCACGGAGTCAAACTCGGTTAATCGGGCCGCACCGTTCTCCCAGCCTACCGGCATGCTCACGTCGCGCTCAAAGCCGCGAACTTTACGAGCACCGCGCATCACGTTGAATAAGACAATGGGAAGCCACACGGCTAGCCACACCCAGGCGGTAGGCACTCCGTCTAAAACTGTGCCCACTGCCCAATCCTTTTTCCAATAGGATTTGAAAACGCCCTCGAGAATGCTGAGCGGCATCGTGGCTACCAAGAGGGCAAGAAACGGATGGCGGCTAAACCAACCAGCACGCGCCCCCGAATTCTGACGCCAATTGCCCGGCATACTTGCAAATGGGATAATGTCCAATGGCCATGTCAAGAACCCTGTGTACAGCTCCTTGATACGCCGCGCGTGTTGCAACTCACCCAAGTCGAACTCAGTCCAGGGAGTGTTGGAATTTCCTCCTCGCATCCACAGGGAGAATCTCGCCCGCCAAATGCGAATGGTCTGGCTTAACACGATCCAACCATGCAACACCATGTGTTGGGAGAAGTCACTGCGCACTCTGATGTTCCAGGACTCGAGGCGAGAGGGCGCCATGTTAGGGAACTTTCGAGGCTGGTTGTCGGGGCCCTGATTCCAAAAGTACCAATCGTAGTGGAATGGGAAGAGCACCGTTTTCTGAGCCTGGGGCAAGCGCTTGGAGATGGGAAGCATGTCGGCGGTAAGAGTACGGAGCACGGCGAGTTCGGTGCGCTCTCCCGTATGCTTGTAAGCTTGGTCTTCTACCAGTACGGGCTCTGGGCCTGCAGACTCGTGGTCCTGTACTGGCCAGAAACGACGGGTGAAGTCGAAGTTGAAAGGTACTGGGGCCGAAGGTGCCTTGGCTTTCGAGGATGGGGAACCAGCAGGAAGGTCGGGCTCAAGTCCAGGCTCTTCGGTTCTCAAAGACACTCTGACGGTTGGATCACTGGTGAACGGCATCTCGAACACGCTCTTGACCGTTCCAACTTTCACTCCCCAGACGCCTAGGCGGTCGGTATTGTCCGTTTCATAAGTAATGTCTCCCGATCTAACACAATAAGAAAACTGCTTATTCAACCAGTACCGAGGCCACCCATCGTTGAATTGCTGCGCGATGGGACGTGGAAACCTTGTCCGGATAAGGGTTTCAGGGAGGTCAGTCTTGATATTTACATCCGTGGCCACGTACTCAACATGGTCTTGAGCCATGAAATCGGGGACCCAAGATGGTAAACCGTCAGTCTTGGACTCGGAGCATTCCAGCTCAATCGGGCTGAACAAGCCAGGAAATATGTCCCTGTGCGCGTCTCTCCATAACACAAGCTGTTCATCATCGAGCTTTTTAGCCGATTCTGCAGATACAGATTCGTCGGTTTCTTGTGGCTCTGCTGCCTGTGCGGCTTCCCGAAGGGCTCGCACATAGTACTCAACCTCTTTGGTTGGAGATTGCTGTCTCTGAACAGAAGACAAGACGCCCAGATCACCATCCTCCGCAATCATGTCTCTCGTAAATCGACAGTAGACTTCTTTTTTCGTTTCCATATAATCAACCCGGTAGGCCTTTCCCACTGTCCCTGGTGGGTTTGCAATGCCCAACAGAGAATACAGCTTGTCTCGCGGGTCTGTTGCTTGTTGCGGCCGGGTGCGCTGCAAGAGACGTGAGAGTTGAAATCTCTCATCTCGGAGGCGGTCCTGCCGGTTAGGCATGTCTCGGCAGAGTTTGTGAAAGTCGACCAAGGTTTTGATGTTTTCATGTTCCTCAAACACGAAATTCTCCTGCCCCGCGGCAACAAGTGCGGCACATGCATCCCCAAACACTTCCCAGGGAACAGCATATTTACCGCAGCGAATCTCAGTATCCTGTGACAAACACAGCTCTTGGAATGTCCATGCACGTGTGAACCACGCGCGGCGGACAAACGCCTCAAAGCAAGCCTGCTCTTCGACGTCGAAGGTGCTCCACTCTGTGAGCTTTTCCAAAATCTCTGATTGACGAGCCCCGGTCTTCAAGGCGTTGGCATATATATCAGCCCAGCGGTTGATGACTCTGATCGAGCCGTATGTCCAATAATCTTCCTCGCCTAGCCAGATAACAACTTTTCTCGCTTTGCTATAAATATCTGTCATGAGTGGGACCTGACTACTCTTCTCAAGGGAAGAGTCTTGGTTGATGCACAGCGCATCGATCCATAGAGTACGAGAGACATTGTCCAACTGCAAAGCTCGTAGGGCGAGCATCAGATTCGGTGTCACCTGAACAGTGTAATCACCATCTATGCTAAGGGAGCATGCGACCTTGCCATCTTGACCAACAGTTGTCGGTACATCTGGAGGTAAAAGCGTAGGGGCGTAAGGGTCATTCCAGCTATACGACAACGCTTCATATGGCGCGGTGGTTGAGTCTAGACGCGAGTCTCGTAGTGATACCACGATTTGATCCGGGTTTTGTGCGTGCTTTCGAGGATGAAGTTCGAGCAGCCTGAATGATGGCCCTGGAGGCAGCGCACTATAAGGGTACTTATTCGAGCGAATCTCCGCTCTAGTTGACCCTAAAAACGCCCGAGCTGGGTTGTTCCTAGCATAGGTTGAGTGAACCTTGGATAGGCCGACGAGTCCTCGTGGGATAAGCACCGTGCATGAGGCATTTTCGTTGCAAACCCGCGACGCGAGAAGCCCAAAGCGCTTCATCGTGTCTGCAAGCCGTATTTATTCTCCATATGCTGGATGTATTCTCGGGATTACATACGCTCGCTTTTGCCATCCGCAATAGCAGGACATAAATAAGAGTTGCGTGCTCGCAAAATCTTACTTGTTACCCTACTCGCGAGATTACCTAAGAGATATGAGCCATAACTTGACTACTATGACCACAGTCCGTTTTCAAATTCACCATCCATGCCGATTTTCTTGTCACCAATCGTCAAAAAAGTGGCGGCACTGTATGCATATCGCCATTGATCTTATCCATCTCACCACAAATATGCGTTTGTCTCCCGCCCCAAGAGTCCACTGTCAAGGTCCCAAGAACCAATACCCATACGCTAAACCCAGAAGCATAGAGCAAGACGATAATGGCTTGGGTTAAAGGGGTGAAGTTGCTGCCTTGGGCATGCATATGTTCAAGGTTGATATGTGCAACTTTCATCCGAGACCGATTCATCGGCCCTTGAGAACATACCCTAGTATCCTAGTTCCCGCCCCGATAACTTACTGGGTATCGGTATCCGTGGATACGTCCCGAGAATCCGGTAGAGTATCAAGTGATTAACCACCGTGCAATAGCCACGACTCACACCATGCTTGTGTAGTGGAACCACGTAGAAAGATGCACATGCCGGCAAAGGCAAGGCATTCCACAACTTAGGTAGCCCACGGGAGGGTTGGTGAGAGTCTGGCGGATACTGGATCCAGATTGAATCGTTATTGCATGAAGATTGTAATTTAGAGGAATAGATATCAGTATGAAGTGCAGTTTGGTCCTCTTCGATGAGATGTAGGACTGCAAGGCTCTCAGACTGTCGCGTCTAGCCTTGTAAGGGTTGTATAAGGACGGGAAGGGAATTTACGTGTACAGATGATCGTCCACGGCTAGTTTTCGGCAAAGAATCAGTTTAATCCCATCCGCAGCTAGGGGCTCTATTTGCTCCGTAAACGCAGGCAATATTGAATCTTCCGCCTTGTGGCATGCTCACGGGCCTCTGGAAACGGCCCTGGCTTTCCTTCGGGTCAACCTTCTGGGCACTGTAATACATTGAATAGGTACCACGAGCATTTGCTGATTTGCCGACGGTTCAACCTCACGACGGGAGCAACTCTCGTGCCTAAGCCTCCGAGTATCAATCCAAGACTCGTGTCAGTACCATGCGTAGATGAATGCAGTCTCCCAATCGTCTATTGAAGTGGAACCAGGTCTAGACTTGGATCTCTGCTATGTAGCGGGTTTACGCTTCATTCATGTATTTGATTGGTGACGAAAGGGGTGGTCACGTGCTGTTGGATTTAATTGAGAGTTCAACCGATGCTCTGCCGGGATTGTGGGGCAAGTCTGAGCTGCTGACTCACCCTTCTGAATCAGATAAGATAAGCACAAGCAAGTCAGTCACGTGCTCTCATGCTGCGCTAGTCCACAACTGGCAGCACACCTACTCGAGATCAAATCCTCCTTTGTATAAAGTACTTTTCTAGAATGGTGGTATATAGAATCAAATATTTCATGCATCGTAATGGTCCCAAAACAGTGCCTGCGTAAATGCATCACTACTAAATGTCTAAGTGATAAGCGCGTGATATCTGGTCGGATCAGATCCTTCTGGGATAACTATGGCTGCAATCCTTTGGCTGTAACTCGGTAGGCATGCGCTTGCCCAAGCAATTTACGTATAGCACGTTACTCGATGGGGCATACTTTAGTGCTACAACTATTCAGCGATATGTGCATGGATGTCATTTGTTGAGATTCATTTTAAATCCCCTAGTATATATTAATGGAAATACGAATGATTTGTTGCGGCGCCCAACAGTTGGAAAACAGGAGGTGTGTATAGGGTAGCCTGAGTCGGTAGGAAGGAGGATGTGTTGGTACCTGAGGCACCGAAAGGGACACGTGGACTCGAGCGGAACGAGTCATCACGTGACGCCTGAGTGCCCCTTGGACCTGCTGAAGATCACAGTCGCCCAGCATTCTGGTATCTTGAAATGGATGAATAGAATACAATTGCCCTCTATAAGCTACTGGCTGGTAAGTACCGAACCTACCGAGTAGTCGATAAGCTGCCCGCTGCTTGAATGGGGGCCCCTAGGGGCGCTTGGTTGGTCTGGGAACTGAAAACCCATGATCGAATCGAAATGATCCACGCGCAAATCCGAGGTTCCACCATGGCACAGGGGGGGAGGCTTGGAGGTCGCATGGATGCAGATGGTAATATGTACTCCGTACACGTAGGTAGGATAGGATGGACTGCTATGGTCCCAGACGTGAGTGGTGAGACCAGTATACTTATTCGCGTGGTGCTAGGCAGACTCGCAAGCGTTTGCCCATTGACATTACACATTGTTGGAAGGGGAGGCCTCGAGTCTCGTACCGACTGTGGTGGTGGTGTGGTGCGTGCAAGCGTGTGCATCGATGTCCCAATGCTATGCCAATCCAATCACCCCTGAGTCCCCGCCGGGGAACTATTATCTTAGTAATTGCTCGGTGCCAGAGCCAAGCAAGGGAGAGTAGGTTCTCTGACTCAAGGGCGGGTGCTGGCCCAACCTCAATCACTTTATCCTCGCATCTCTCCCCTCTTGTGCTGACGGACATGTGTAACGACACCATGTTGCGTCGTGGGAGCCGAGGGCGTGTGGTGTCGCCTCGGGGAGCGTCAGCCCACAATCAAGGCAGCAATGCGGTTCGGGAGCTTGTGTTTCACGTGTACTTATTTCCTGTCTAAGGGTACGGGCGCGTGTGGTGTCTGGTAGCTGCTGCTTCCATGTCCTCCGCAAACATTCTATCTACCCCGAGGTCAAACCTAATTGCCCCGGCCGGCTTGGATTGGCCTCCTCTCCCATCCCTCCCTCCTCGGACTCTTTGTCCGTCCTCCTCCTACCATTTCCCCTCCTGGCACGCCGTCAATCCAAAGGAGGAGGGTGTTTCGAAGGGAAGCGTCGCCAACCCACACCGGAAGATCAAAAAAGCACATTTTTGAGAGCAAAGGAACGAAAGAATAAACGTTTTTTTCCAGTTTTCTTTTTTTTGTGAAGGAGAAAGCAGAAGACACTTTGGGAAAAGCAAAACAGAAAACAAGGACGAGGCCCCGCGAAACAAACCCCGACCGGGCGGCCTCGCCTCCCTCCAGCTGCCCTGATGCCGGCGACTCGACGAGCATCAGGCGGCTACAGGCCCCTGCGGCGCGCGGCGTTGGCCAGCCGAATGATCTTGTCTGGGTCTTCGGGCTTATACTCGACCGGCAGTTGGCGGAGACGACGGCTCTGACGGCGTTCGTGGCGCTGGGGACTGTCCGGGCGCTTGCGTTGCTGCTGCTGCTTGGAGCGTGCTGTCGGTTCCTGTCCGCTGCCAGAGAAGATGCCAGCGTGATGCGCTGGAAAGGGCTTTCGGATACCTAGCTTCTGCGCTAGCAGCTGCAGGTCAGGCAGCTCAGTGAAGTCTCCCCCAAGATACTCTCCGAGGCGCTGGTGCGCGTGTTGATACTCATATCTACCCTCGTCGGTGGAGCGAGGCTGTTCGTGGAGTCTGGTGTGCTCCATGAACATCAATGTCGCCCGGTATTGCACGCGGTGGAGATGGAGTTCCCTCTCCTCCCGTTTCTTCTTGGCCTCCGGTCCCTCACTGTAGAAACGACGTGTGCACTCCTCGTTTTCGGCTCGTGATCTCTTTCTCTCGATGCCAGAGAACCTGGTCCGCTCGTACTGTTTATCGTCCCAGTCGTCAGTAATAGCCGTCCACTCCATCCTTTCCACGATGCGCTTCGGGCCCTCCCTGGCCTCCTTTGTGTATTTAGACTCGTTCGTTGGCGCGTCGTCGTCTTCCAGCTCGCTGCTTGCCTCGCTCGCTGCCGACGTACCGGCCACCTCCGTAACTGCCCGTGGGTAGTTCACCTCGCTCATTGCCGGCGTGCATGTCTCGGTGTCGTCGATGTCGTTCGGCGGTTGCGAAGACCCAAGTATCTGAGCCCACGAGTATCCCTCAGACAGCATGGCGCCGTCCCTGGCCGCCATGATGTCGCTCGCCATCCGCCATCGTTTGTCCGTTCGCCTGGAGTGGTACATCTTCTCCGAAAATTCTTTAGCCGCAAGGCCCATTTCCCGCTCCCGACGAGCTGCTCTGCGATTGAGGTACCATCCCTCACCATAACGCTTTCGTGCCAACGACGTCAACTCGTCCAGCTCGCGGCCGCGTAGCTCCACCTTGCCTCTCTGCAGTTCCCTCTCCATGTTCCTCAATTTCTTCTGCCGATCGCAGTATCGGTTCCACCTTGTCGGATCCTCCGCGGCAATGGAGTTGTAAGCGTCATCTATCATGCTCTCCCGCTCCGTTGTCCACTCCTCTCCAAAATGCTTGCGGCCCCATTCAGTCAAGGTATCGAAAGTAGCAGTAGCAGGCTTTGGCTCGGGGGTCCACCGTTCGGATGGCTCGCCGCGGGTGTTGTCGTTGTTCGGCTGGCATGGAGGAGGGACATCGGTGATCGGTGCGTCGCAAGCGATGCCGTCGTCAGGCACGTCCATCGGAGCGGCAGTGGTCATCATTGTGTGCTGAACAGAACAAATCGCCTTGGTCTTCGGTTGGGCGAGTTCTAAAGATGAAGGTCACACGAAGGCTGCAATGGGCGTCAAGTGTTGTTTTTATGCTGGTGCGAAGGGGTGCAGACAAAGACGAGGCCATCAACAAACAAAACAAAGGCGTCGACACACGGGGACAACAAGCAGCGCCCAACACGTGATGGTCTTCCGAATAAAGGCTTGAAATCCGTTGGATGTCGGTCCTTGTGATTATTCGACTGTGTAGCCATTGTTTGCCGGTACATTCCCCATAAGGTATGAAAATAGTCCATTTGTAGGTCGTCCACTCTTGATGACGTAGATGTATCGGCGAGATGAGTGTGTCCCTTCTAGAATGGACAGGAAACGCGTTCAAGTATCCCTGGAGCCATCTCTGGAATGAGCCTGGTGTTGATTCTTGACGGCTGCTTCCATACTCTTGATGTTGATGGGTTGAAAATGCTCGTCCGTCAAGCATGGGAAGACAGAAAAGGTGCCACTCTTTTGAGAACGCATTGGGCTGCTCTCGCCTGCCAATCGGATCATGTTGTCTCAGAGAACCCTCACTGTGTTGTATCTCACTGTGTAAAGGTTAAGAAGCTTTTTTATTAAGGCTAACCTCTTCTAAACCCTACTTTCTTATATCTTCTCCTTCCTTCTTCAGACCGCTTTATTTACTCTTCTTATTATTATGAATAAAGGCCTCTGTCAGGCTATATAAAGTTATATATAATATAGAGCCTTAAGAAAGTATAACGGTTAGGTAACTTACACTGGACCTGGTCTAGGGTAAGTTGGGGGTTAAACTAATCAGAGTATTATTCTGAGTAGTATAATCAGGTTATTATAGGCTGTATAATACGAGTTACTATTAATATATAAGTATTATAGAACTAGTAATAATAGATATATAGATAATATTACTAAAAGATTATAACTTTATTAATAACTATCTGAAAGAGTATTCTAGCTAATAAAATAAATATATATATATACTGGAGTTATTACTTACTTATTACTTATCTATTACTCTATCTGAGTAATAAGTTATAGTTTATTAGTTATAGCCTCTATAAGGCTCTATACTATATATAACTTTATATAGCCTAATAGAAGCCTTTATTTATAATATAATACCCCCTTCCTATTAGTCTTATCCCTAAGGCCAGGTTACTATTCTATACTAACTTTAGTATATACTTAGCTCTGTATTTATCTATTATATATTATACTAATAAAATATCTAGTTATAT